AAAACATAATGTATTGGAAACAGTGATATTCACCTGCAGTCCACTCATTGGAAGATGGAGAGTTCACGTTCCTGAATCAGAAACAAGTTGAAGATTTGACAGGGACATTCAAATCCCTTTGTTTCCTTTGTGGAGTCCTCTACTCGACAGTCCTCAGGCAGCCACCATCAACTTTCCAAAGCAGCTACTCTCATTGCCGTCAAAAGCACCCGAGGACTGGGAGCTTTATTTGGCTCTTGGTTTTAAGATTATGGTGAGAAAAGAGCAGGGAGCAGCTGTTCACATTGCATCTGTAGTGGGGAGAGTGCTGGATGCTCAGCCCAGGGAATGGTTCCACTCACAAGTGGGAGTGCCTCCAGGGGAGGATATTCGTTTGACTATGGTACCAAGACCGCCATCTTTTAGGAATAACTATTCATTTTTCCAAATGGGGGTGTGGTCAGATCAACCCAAAGGAATTTCTGCTTGACAGACAGCCTCACTGAGGAGGGCCGGATTAGCAGATTAAGCTGTCTACTTTGAGTCTTAAGGAAAACTTAGCCTTTTGAGGTAACGTTTTGTGTTTTTCTCGGTGGAGAGTTGAGGTGTGGTTCTAGAGACTAGAGGCAGCCAGAGACTCGTTTCGCTTCTTGGCTTAGTGGTCTGGTGCCAAGTGTGTAGTAAGCAGTTCTCTAGGGAAGAAAGATGCTGACAATAGAATTTACAAACAGCAGAGTGAGCAATTCTCTTTACTGGACATTTTTCATTGGTCATCCTCACAGGATGCTTCCCTGGTTTCATAGAACTCATCTTCACAACTCAGCCCAACTAGGGTTCTGTCTGCTGAGTGACCACAGCTTCTGGCAGGCATATCTGCTGGTGTTTGGCTTCTTGGCAGAGATTTCAGCCAGTCAGTGCCCTCATAGGAAGCAGGAAAGACTGATGGAATTCTCCTTATCAATGAAGAGAGTACTTTTCTGAATTAGACAGTGAAGAAAATTTCCTCAAGTCAACATTTTCAAGGTTAAGCTTTAGCGTTTAGCTGCATCACCATTTTCGCAAGTCCAGAGCGCTGGTGTGTTCTCCATTGGTTCTTTTCTATACTATAAATATCTGGGGAAGCAAATTAGTATTAGCATACAAACAAAGGTCCAGTAGATGTAAAACTGCTCAAGAACACAGGTAATATAAAATGATTAAAATGCGAACTTTGAGTATTTATTTTTATATGATTTACTTAATCCTAAATTCATATCATTTAGCTTTTGACAATAACTTTAACAGCTAGCTTCCCCATGGTGCTAGGGAAAAGAGAACACAGCATTGGCTTCTGTGTTGTTCTCTTTAGCAAAGGGGTTCAGAACCCCTCCTCTGGGAGGAAGTAAGTCTGAGGTAAGACATGGAGATGCCTCTCAAAACAAAATCCATCTCTGCAGGGAGTCATCTTGGACAGCCACATTTAGGAACAGAGTCCTAGTCACATCCAATCACCATGGTGCACTGAGAGTCTTTGAGGGAGGAGCCCTGTTAGTGATAGGCTCTTTCTTCTCTGGTCTTGTTTGTACATACTGGCTCCCTTGGGGCACCATGGGATGGACAGTGGAAAGGGACTGACACGGGAGGGTTTTTTTTGTAGCATACCCTGGGACTCAGCTGCCTATTTCTATTACAGTTGGCATAGGGTGTGTTTGTTAGGACCACTATTATCCTACAGAAGTTCAAAAACATCCAATTTCAGTTCCTAACCAGAAGTTAGGGGCAGAGGCCACCAAGGAAGCAGAACTGAGTAGGAAGGGCTTCGGGCTACTTAGCTGGAACCATGAGATTGTGAGCTCATTGGCTGAGGCAGACTAATGACTCATGGGGAACGTTCTCTCTATCAGCAGCCCACATTTCTGTGTCATTGCTTAACAATGCTCAAGGATGGAGCATCATTGGCTCTCATGTCGGAGAGGTGCTCATTCAATAAATGAAAAAGAATGATACTTTCCATAATTGTCAATACAAAGCCACCTAAAGTCAGAAGATATGAAATAGGATAATGTTTGCTTCTGTTTTCTCCAAGAGAGTATTTTCATTTTGAAAATATTCAGAGAAAGATACTTAGAGACTACCCGTTAGATAGTTTTCAATGTTGCTTAAAAAAATCCTCTTGCATGGCGTTGGACTTGATGGAACGTGCTTTTGATCACAGCATGTGTGAGGGAGACAGGTGGATCTCTGTTAGTTTGAGACAAGTCGTGTTGTACATAGAGAGTTCTAGGACAGCCAGGGCTATTTAGACCCTGTCTCGAAAGAGAAATATCCGTGAGTGTTTTCAGAACTATACCTGCTCCAGTAGACCTGTGATCAGCACATAACACCCCGGATCTGTCTCCTGACCATAATTCAGGAACTTCGGCTCCACAGGAATATCAGGGTGTGAGATAGCCTGAGAGTGTTTTCACGGTCTGGGGGAATGATTCAATTAGTAAAGTGAGGACTTAGTTTCCATTATCCAGCACTTAAGTAAAAAAGTTGGCATAGCCGTACACACACCTCTGGTTCAAAAGCTGGAAAATAGAGACCAGAGAGTTCTGAGGGCTCATTGGTCAATTATTGGAGCTGAATTGAGCTCTGAGTTCAATGAGGAACTATCTCAACAAGTATAGTGAAGAGCTACACTAGAGGACAGCCAGCGTTGACCTCTGGCGCAAGTGCACACCCACTCCACACACATGCAAACAAAGGGGAAGAAGAGTGAACAGCAGAAGGTAAGGAAAAAAACAGTTTCTTAGGCTGAGCGGTACCTGGACAGAGCGACTGAGCTGGTAATTTTGAAATTGCTTTTGAGGTCCCTGTGTAACATCTTGGCTAGAGAAGTTACTGGTGAAACTTGAAGTGCCTCGACTTGACAGAAAGTTTTAAATTCCTTTTAAATCCCCGAAAAGTGCATTATGAAACACATGTGTAAGGGGAAAGATTACAGGTTGCTGGGGAGCAGGGAGGCCACTGAGCTGTGAAATCAGATGAAAGGACCACAGAACCCCCAATTCTGATACTGTTAATTAATTCGACATTTATTAGTTTATTTTATTTATTTGACATTTGTCTTATTTATTTAGGTAAATGTTAATTAACATTTCTTAGGGAAAACTAAGGAGACTAATAGAGCAACAAGAAAGTAGGACAACTGGGGAACTGTTAGGAGTCTAGCTGTCTGCCCGAGTGATCACCAGGCTTATGCTAAGCCTTAAGCACTCAGGGGCCCCTGAGCTCTGTGGCAGTTACAGTCACAATAGGATGTGATTAGAGTGGCTTGCGGTTATTGCTTTCTTTCTTTTCTTTCTGTAGTGAATTTCCATTTAAAAGCATCCTTACCGCAGTGATTGCAGGCTCTGAAAGGAAGAATGTCTAATGACAACTCTTGGGCATACAGAAGAGGTAGGGAGCAAAGGCTGGCGATTGGTTTTATGACGTTGCCAGTGTTCATGCATAGGCAGTTGAAGCTAGTTCTTTTTACTTCAGCTTCTTCAGTTTAGAAATGCTGTGGTATTCTGTGCAATGGCGCTGTCGTGGAACGGGTATGGTGATCCCTGAACCATATTTCCCATATCGTACCCAGTATCCTATATTTGATCTGTCCTACACGTCATCCCATCTACAAGTATCAGCTAGAGTGTTCACCATCATCTGGGACCTTCATTCCTTGACCTTGTGCAGATGATCTTGTCCCAGGAAACTTCTAGGGTGGACACTGCCCTTTGACCTCTTGTCGAAGACAGGTCTGAACAAACACAAGAGATCTTACAGCTTTTCCTTGGGTCTCATGGAGCTCCCCAGTTTGGCTTAAGACTTGCTACATAGCCAAAATTGACCTTGATGTTCTGTTTCTCCTGCCTGCCCCTCCTAAGGCTGGGATTACAGGCGCACATCACCATGCCAGGTCAGCATAGCTCCTTGAGTGCTTGAAAGTCGGTACTTGTCCCCTGAGTTTCTCTGCAAATTGGCATCAAGTTTTAGCCAATCTGCTCAGAATCTCCGCATACTGTGATGCTGTTACTGAGGCCAAGAAGCAATGGAAGACAGTGCTAACAGGGACTCACAATCTTCATTTAGTGCAGGGATTTGATCCTTTTCAGCCACAGTACCATGCATTCTAGTTTTCTTTCTGTTGCTGTGATACATACCATGGCGAAAAGCAACTGGGAGAGGAAAGGTATTGTTTACCTCTACAGTTTATAGTCCATCGTGAAGAGAAGTCAGGACAGGAACTCAAGGCAGGAACCGAAGCAGAAGCCGTGGTGGAGAGATACCCATTGACCTGTTCCTCATGTCCTGCTCAGTCTGCTTTCTTATACTGATGGAGGAAGGTCATTGGCTAATAAAGGAACTGCCTTGGCCCATTTTATTGGTTAGAGGATAGGTGGGAGGAGTAAACAGAACAGAACGCTGGGAGGAAGAGGAAGTGAGCTGAGTCTCGACAGCTCTCCTCTCGGGAGCAGACGCCTGAGAGAGACGCCATGCCCCACTCCAGGGATGAAGCTCCCACCCAGGATGGACTAGGCTAGAATCTCCCCGGAAAGTGCACCTTGGGGTGCCATACACAGATGATTAGAAATGGGCTAAATTAATATGTGAGAATTAGCCTAGAAAAGAATGGGCCAAGCAGTGTTTAAATGAATACAGTTTGTGTGTTGTTATTTCGGGCATAAGCTAGCTGTGCAGGCGGCTGGGGTGCTGGGAACGCGGCCCCGCCGCCCCTATTACTACATTATACCATCCAGGAATATCTGCCTAAGGATGGTACTGCCCCCAGTAGCTGGATCCTCCCACATCAATCAACGGTCAAGAAACACCCTACGTGTGTATTCATAGTGCAGTGATGGAGGGCCGCCCTCTCTTCCCAGCTGACTGCAGTTTGTACATGCCGACAAATGTTGACCGGCTCACCGTGCTATGTCAGAACTGTGGGCTTTTTCCTTTGGCTAGCTCTTTTCTACGTTAAGATAAACTTCAAATTTCTTTTTTTTTCAAGAATATAAAATATTAATCTTTAATAAAATTTGTTTACTATAAAATTGTGATTCTTAAGGCGTATCTGGCTGGGCTTCTGTACAGGAGGGTTGCTGTCCTGGGTCACGATGCCACCTCTCACTTCTTCCTCTTCTTGCCCCCAGCAGGGACCTCATTCTTCTTGCCCAGAATCTTCATCAGTGCCATGGGCATGTAGTAGGGCCGCTCCTGGGAACCGTCGTTTCTCTCCAGATCCTCCAGGAAGCAGAGGAAGAGCGTGTCTACACACATGCCAAACACGCTAAAGAAGCCACTGGCGATGACATAGGCTCCCATGATGGAGGTCATGATGGGCAGCCAATAATAGTTGAGGTTGGGGTTCTCAAAGTCTTTCCCCAGCCCCTTGATACGACCGGAGAAAAAGAAGAAAGACAGGACACCGACACCTCCGACCACCAGCAGCTTCCCAAAGAAGAGCAGCAGATCTGTGACTTTATCCAGGACAACTACCCTGAGAACGTTCCTCATGAGCAGCTTGAAGGCGTTTTTGGCTGAGACACAGAAATTCTTCCCGTAGATGGCGATCATGATGTAGGCGTTGCGGTTGAGAAACTTAATAAACTTCTCCAGGCACCAGAGGCAGCACTTGAAGCAGCAGATGATGCACCGGGCCACAGCATTTTGGGATCCTCTTAGCTTGTGGTCAATGTATTCCAGGATGACCCGGGCTATCTGCACAAGGGTCAGGATGAGGGCTCCAAACGCCAGCGACCCAGTGTGGTAACGGAGGGTGCGGATGAAGGCTGAGCTCAAGGGGAAGGTAGGGATGTCTTTAGGCTTATGAAAGGCCCAGTAGAAGGAGGCAAAGGCCCCGGCAAGGACGCACTGGCCCAGCGCCAGTACCCAGTTAACCGTCCAGAAGAGCCCCAACACTCCATAGATTTGCAGGTTGAAGAGAGAGCGCTGGGCTAGGCCCGTGGACGAGTAGCCCTGGAAGGCGCATGTGAGCCCGGGGCAGGAGGAGAAATTCCCGGTTGAGGCCTGGAAGTGACAGGGAGGACACAGCAGGGTCAGACCCTGGAGTGGCAGGCAGATCCTTCAAACTTCAAATTTCTTTGGCCAAAGGTTAAAATCCTTTACGATCTGGCTTTGTCTCTTATGTATGCCTGTCATCTGCGCTCACATTAACCCATCTATGTTTGCATATATGCGCCAGCCTTACTTAGGACTTCTAACTTTTATGTCCAGGTCAATCACGATCCCTTTGGACTGTAGAGTGTTTTGTTTTTTTTTTCTGAGATTTTTTGAGTGGAACTAGCCTCTCCTCTGCACCTGTAACTAACTGCCATGCCTACCTTTCTTTAGAGAACTTCTGGCTTTATACATAATGTGTGTGTATGTGTGTGTACATGTGAATATACATGTTCACATGTGCACATACGCATACAGGTAACATGTTTGTAGAGGTCAGAGGTCAACATCAGATGTCTTTCTCAATTGCTTTTCTCCATCTTTTTAGGCCACCTTCTTTATTTAAACAGGGTCCTACTGAACCTGGAACTTACGGATTTGGTGACTGGCTAACTAGTGAACTCAGCGATCCACCTGTCTCTGCCTCCCATAGCACTGTGATTACAGATGTGTGTCTCCATGCCTGGATTTTATATGGGTGCTGTTCCTTATACTTGCATGGCAAGCACTCACTAACTGGACCATTTTCCCATCCTCACCATGTTGTGAGCTTCCTGAGAACACATCATGATTCTTCATTGAGCATCTCCAGCATCTAGTAAGGTGCCTAGAATATAGTAGTTTTTGAACTGGGGCTTAAGTGAAGTCTCTGACATTACCTGGTATTAAATTTAATGTCCAATAACTAGGATGGGTATTGTCTTTAAACAACACTCCAAAAGAAAACAGAACATTAAATGTGCCCACTGACCCATGAGAAAGAAGATAGGCAAGGAAACAGGCCTCTTGTTTCTTGTGAAGGCTGAGTGCTAGGACTCTGCCCAGGTGTGACTCAGCTGTGGCCATAGCTGTGAAAAAGGACAAGCAGAAAGGGGGTGTTCAAAAGAAAAGCTATCGTCAAACAGTAAGGGAGTGCAGTCTTCAGAGAGAAACGCGATCTGCCAATGCATCCGGCTGCAGCACAAATCCACAGAAAGAAGACAGTATATGAAAAAAAGAACCTGTTATTTTTTTAGGCTCAGAAGTTAGGAAGGATGATTCATAACTTTTGAATTATGAAATAAAGTCAGGAAATCAATGGCTTAGAAGCAAAGAATGCACAACTTATTATGGGATATTATTTACTCAAGAAGCATGGCATTTCAGTCAGTATAATAGTATATGGGTTGGTGGGATCAAAGGAAATATTGGTATCTGGAATTCCTTCTGCATTATCAACAGCACATGTCAGTACCTACCAGCAGCCTGAGATGTACCAAAGGGCACTGCCTTGCTGTTTCTGCTCCTAAGGTGGTGTTGATTTATAGGTGTGCTAGGTTGCATAAGGGCAACAGCAACCGGAGTTTATATGGTGCTGTGCCCAGTAGCTCCACCCAGATGCCAGAGGATTAATGATGAAAAAGCCCAAGGGTACATAACTGAATGACACTGAGCATGGTTTTTACAAAACTCAATGGTAACATGAGAATGGCATATAAAAAAAGCCCATTCAGGATGTGGTCCTCATTGTCATGGGCACAGAACCCAACAGCATTACAGCTTCTCATCATTACCCTTTTGAGGGGCCTAGCAAGTCACTTTCCAAGCAGAGTTGTGTTTGGTTTGCAGATTCTTAATGGGCCTGGTTTTATAATGAGCAAGGGTCAGACTCAGTGAAAGGCATTTGCTTCTAGGAGACTCAGGCTGGTGGTCAGAACAGTGGCTGTTTTATAAACACCTGGGAGACCACTCTTCCCTCCCCACCCCCAATTTCCTCTGGGTCGTTCTCTCTTCCTGGTCTGGCATTTTCCCTCATCCAGTATCATTTGAGTGTGTCCACCTCAGAGCACTTCAGTGCACAGATGGATCAGTAGGGGACAAAGATATCCCAAGCTGCTCATGTTATCTTTGAACCCAAGCCATCCCTATCTGTACAATTTTTCCAAAGAACTTGTATTTCTCCATGGTTCTGATATGCCCTGGATAATATGAGGGAATCTGTTAAGAAGAGAAAGAGAGAGAGACAGAGAGAGAGACAGAGAGAGAGAAAGAGAGAGAGAAAGAGAGAGAGAGAGAGAGAGAGAGAGAGAGAGAGAGAGAGAAACTGTAGCCTTGGTTGTGATTCACTGCAAATACTGTCCTCTGATTGATAAACTGGTTCTCAGACAGCTCTCTTACCTTCTAAGTAAGCAAACATCAAGACCTTATTCCTGGAATATATTAATTATCTTGTGCATTTGGTGGTTAGATGTACATAGTCCAACTCCAGCTACATATGACACAGATCATTACTCAGTCTCTATGCCTTTTTCCTTGTCATGTAGAGGTCATACCTGTAATATCTACTTTGTGGAGATATTGAGGACATTAAATGAACCAATGCATATAAAGTGCATAAGTTTTAAATAATATCATTTTTAAGCCCTTTTGATATCCACAAGTTCTCAGATTATCAGATTTACAGTTAGGTGCAAAGCCTAGGGATATAGCTAGCAGAGACATGATAGCTCAGTTGACCAGCTGCTCATTTTTAAAGACAAGACAACAGAAGTCCAGTGAAGAGCGGTCTTTCCTCAAAGTCATTTGACTGGGAGGAATGGAGGAAAACCATCTTGTGCAGGCAACTTTCCACGTGAGGCAACTTTTCAGATGACATGGTTGTTGGGCAATGAAGAAATGGTTTCTATAGACAAACTTCCCTACTTCCTAAGTTAGTCCTGCTTGCTTATGCTTTATCAGTGAATATAAATCGAAGGACTTTAAGAATACAATGTTTGTCAGTCTTGATGGTTCATATCTACAATATCAGTACTTGAGAAGTTGAGACAAGTGGATCGCCGAAAGATCAAGATCAGCATTGGTTCCATAGTGAGTTCTAGTCCAGCCTAAAATACATACTGAATTCTAGGCCAGTCTGGGCTAGAGAATGAGATCCTTTCTTAAAACAAAACAAAGTAAAGCAAAACGAAAGCTCTATTACCAAATATGCAAGCGTTCAGGAGGCTGGGGCACAAGGATCATGAGTTCAGATCCAGCCTGGGAAATGGTGAGAGACACTGTTTCAAAAAATATAGCCACCCTGTATTACTGTGGTAATTTGAATGTAATTGTCCCACATAAACTTATAGGGCTTGGCACAATTAGGTGGGACTTTGTTGCAATAGGTAAGGCCTTGGTAGAGGAAGTGTGTCACTGTGGGGGTGGGTTCTCCTATGCTCAAACTATGCTCAGTGTCACAGCTCACTTCCTGTTGTCTATGGATCAAGATGTAGAACTCTTAGCTCCCTTTCCAGCACCATGTCTGCCTGTATCACCCTAATTAAATATTTTCCTTTATAAGAGATGCTGTAGCCATGCTACCACTTCACAGCAATAGAAACTCTAAGTAGTTGGTAGCAGGGACTAGGATATTGCTGTAAAAGACTGGGTCACATTTTTGTTTGGAGGAATATTAACTGTGGGACTGTGGATTAGGAAAGCAGTTGAATGCTTTGTGGGGCATAATGAGCCATCCTAGTAGGAGCATGGAAGACAGTGGTGCTAAGGGTAATTTGAACTGTGGGGGTCTGGCTCAAGAGGTTTCAGAGGAAAAAAATGTTAGCATGTGGCCTAGATACTGTTCTTGTGATATTTTGGTGAAGAATTTGTCTGCTTTTGTCCTTGTCTGAAAGGTTTGCCTTAAAAGTGCAGAGTTTGGGATTAGTTCCATTGGCAAAGGAAATCTTGAAATAGCCTAGTACCATCTTTGTCAAGTGGTTATTAGTGGTAACTCTAATGAAGACTTATAATAAAAAGGAGTAAAGTGAGGAAGGAAAATTACAAAATGTACAATTAGAAAAGAAGGAGAGCACCAGGGAGTGGAATGGAGCTAAGTCCTGTGTCCAAGGAGATAAACAGACTAGGAAATGGAATAAAGGGGGTTGTGACATCAGGGACAGAACCCACCCAGCTAAAATTCCAACTTCTGAAAGGAGATTCAAGAAAAACTCAGAGCCAGGTATGGTGGTGCACACCTTTAATCCTAGCACTTCAGAGACAGAGGCAGGCAGATCTCTGAATCTGAGGCCAGCTTGGTCTATAAAGAAAGTTCCAGAACAGCCAGACTTAGGCAGTAAAGGAAACCACTGAAAACAGGAAACTGATGAAGACATAACTGAAAGATCTCTGAGTTCGTTGCTACAGATCCAGTTTCAGGATAGCCAAGTTTAGGCAGTAAAGGAAACCATCAAAAACCACAAGTTGGTGAAGACGTTATAGTACAAGGGGGCCGGCCATGTTCCAGTCCCAGCAAGCAGCAGAACTTGGCAGTTTTGTTCATATGGTTCTGACTTTAGATTCAAGGATAGAAGAACAGGGTCCTGGATTATTCATGCACAACCAAGGAAAGCCACTGAGGCCAGGCTTTTGTCAGGGCTGTCGCTGAATGGAAGCCCAGAGAAGCCATTGTGTGACACTGTGAAGGAGAAGCCTGGAAGATGTTAGAGATGCCAAAGAAAGCTGCTAACAGGGAGTGGAACCAGCCCAAGAGAAAGAAATATTTTGCAGTCAACAAAGCTGAAAGGAGTTGGAGATCTGAAGAGTGTTTTGTCATCAGACTTGGAGATACAGAGTTTGTCCAGCTGCTTTTTGGTCTTGCTTTAGTCCAGTGTTTCCTTGCTATGCTCTCTTCCCTATGTTTTGGAATGGTAATGTATATCCTGAGGCATTATGTATTGGAATTATGTGATATGTTTTTGATTTTATAGGAGATTACAGTAAAGAGATTACATGAATCTCAGAAGAGACTTTGAACTTTGGCTTTAAAACATTGTTGAGACTATGATAGACTATGGGAACTTTGGAAGTTGGACTAAACACATTTTGCATTATAT